CGGGGGCTGGGGGTGGACGATCAAAACTCCACTCACCTTTGTTCGTCGGCGGCCGCCACGGCCAGGACGGCCCCTAGCACCCACACGGCGGTGTGCATCGCCTTCATGTCACCTGAAACACAAACCGACAGTTGGCACTAACATGCGGGTTGTGAAAGGAAGCATGATCGCTTCGGGTGTGCAGCCCGCTATGCCTTCGATATCTGACCACGTCACTCATCGTAGTCGACAGGACATAATAAGCCTGCAACTCTGCACTACTCACATGTAGCCTAGTGCCACACTTTCTTTTGCACCCAACCACAATTAAACTGCTCAATATGGCACCTCGGCGAGACATAGACATACTGCGATTGTCGGGCTGATACACACGTGCGAGGGAAATGATTGTTATTCTGACCAAAGGGAGAAGTCGTATCGCCTCGACAAAACACACAAAGCAGCAGCGGTAGCCGGCGCGGGAGCGGCCGGTCAAGTTGCGGTGAAGTTGATAGTGCGAGGTCATCTCATGCATAGGGGCATATAGGGACAGGGCAGCCACAATCAGAACATGTTGGGGTAGCGACAGAAACACCACAGCGCATTGAGTGTGGCATGGCCACACTGTGGTCACGCCCCCTGTCTCTAGCCAAGGCACCGCACGGGCCCTGGCGAATAGGTGGACAACCCGCCTTGGGGGACTCGATGTCTTAACAGTATGAGATGTCACTCAGGGCGCCTCGACGCCTCGAGGCGCCTGGTCCGGCGTCGCTTCCCGCGGCGGAGCTTACTCACTTCACGAGTGGGCGTCGCGCCCCGGCGTCCCTTTTGTCTCCTCCGCCGCTAATCCTTTGTATGGCCGGCGGGCCGGCTACGGCTATGGGCTACGGCTATACGCACAGGACGCTGCTCGCTCGGACCCTCGCCGCACACTGTGCATGTGTGGTGTGTGTGGTGTGTATGTATCGTCCCGAGCTCGCCAAGCCGGCCGGTGCGAGGCGGCGGCGGCGCGGGGACGAAGTAAACAGAGGCCGGGAGAGGAGGGGCGAGGGTGCGGGCGGCACAGCGGAGGCACGAGCCGGGGAGAGGCGGGGGAAGGGGGGGCTAAACGCCGCAGCAGCACGAGCGAACGTCTGCCAACACTCACAAACACACACTAGTTCACGTGTATCTCCCGCGTGGTGGGGGAGTGTTTTGGGAAGTTAGTTCGGGGGAACCGGGAAAGCCCGTCGTGTGACGGCGAGCTTCCGGCGCCCCGCTCATGCGTCCGCTGCGTCGGCCGCAGGCAGTAAGTGGAGCTGCAGGTGGCTGATTGGGCCCGGGCCGCCCACCTCTGCGGTTGGACTGTACCGCATGCAGGCGCGCGGCCGGGTGGCCTATCGTCGCTGACCAGCGGCGCCTGATGGCCCCGAGGGGGCAGCGAGCCTGGTTGAGGTAGGCGGGTTCGACGGCCACCTCGCGGGTACGAGACCAAGGGCCGAGAGGAAGAGGACCTCGATCCTCGCGCGGTGGGGCGGGCAGTGGAGGTGCGGTGGCGTGAGGGCGCAGGGCAGGCCACGACAGTATCAGAGTGTCCACGGAATATAATACCTCTTCTGTGCTCTGCGGCGCCCAGCTGTGTAAAGAGCGTTGGTTGGTGCGGCGGCCGGCATGAGGGTGAGGGGGATGAGGGGAGTCAAGGTGTGGACCGACCCGGCAACAACACTGTCGGGTAAACCGGCGGTGGAGGAGGAGGAGGACCATCTGAGGCGGCTGCTGCTGCGGCGGCGGCGGCAGCGGGAGACCAAGGTCAAGGGTGGAGGCAGCGCGGCGCCCGGCCGGCCGACGGCCCGGCCGCTCGCTCAGCTGGGTCCCCTCTGACGTCTTGCTCTACAGCAACGCGAGAAGCCATGTTGCCAGTCGCGGGGAAGTCCCTTGCCCCCCTCACCCAACCCGCGCCGCGGCGTGCCGGGCACAAATAACTCCTGCCTTCAGCATCCAGCAGAGGGAGCTCGAACGTGACAACGGTTTATGACGCTCTGTAGGCTACACACACAGGCTTCCGTGAAAAGGCTTCTGGCACTTCGCGGAGGCGTATCGCGCGACTTGTCGGGGTGCCGCGGGCAAGGCCGAGCGTCGGGCCGCCGCCGGGGTGTCGGCAGCAGGACGAACATGTGATGGATTAGGCAACGGCCGGGAGAGCGCGCGCTCCTCCTCGTCAAAGTTACGAATGTACGTCATGCTACTTCTCGCCACTGCCCGGCATTCGCACTAATCGCCAGGCGGTAATGACGCAGGAGGACGAGGGCGGCAAGCTCCTCCAAGCTATCCAGCCCGGCGTCGCCTTATTGTTGGAGCGTGTGTTATCCGTGATGAATCCGCGCGCTGTCCGCGAGTGATTAGAGACGCGAACACTACGCTGCTCCGAGTGGTGTTCCTACATACGGTACGTGGAATCCGAGCGGCGGGCCTCTCGGCTGTCCACCACACGCCACACGGCTGTGCGTGCGACTGAGAATAAAAATGAGTACACAGAACGGGGGGACGCACGCGACACGACGCGTGAAACAGTCATGGTTAGAAAGGGCGCGCCGGGGCGGGGAAGCAAGGGGGGAAGCCTCTTGAAGGGGTGTCCCTCATCACACCTCCAGCGGGCGAACAGGCCCCACACGACTGGGCGTATTGAGCGGGTGATGATATTATTATTATTTGGTGTTAGGTTGTTGGTAGCGTGTGTAGGGGGCCCCCGGCTGCGTGACGGTGGCTGCCCTGATTGTCTGGCTCCCACCCCCACCCTCCACTCCACCCCCCAACCAACCCCACCTCCACCGCGCGGGGGTGCGGTGTGTGTGGAGGGGTTGGGGCGGGGCGGGCCGAGGAGAGGGGGCGTGCACACCCCTGCGGGCCTGCGGGGCGGGCCAGGACGCTCGGGCCGGCCAGTGGTCACTCGGTCGCAGTGCAGGCCGCCAGGGCCTAAATGCCTTAGGCCCCCCTCCCGGCGCGGCCATGGGGTGCGCGGCGAGCAGCCCGCTGGCGAGAGCGCTCAACCCGAGCAGGTTCATCAACCAGGCCAAGGAGCAGGCCAGCAAGGAGCAGGCCGTGGTCAACGACGAACCCACGCCCTACCCTCTCCATGGTGAGGTTTATGGTGGTTTGCTCAGTATGTAGAATGCCTATTTATATAGCTCGGTGCGGAGAGTAGCTGATGGAAGAAAACGGTTATCATAGTACCTTAATCTTCAGCAACGGGTATGTTCGACCTATCAGGAAGCTTAATAGCCAAACTCGCAATCCTTGTTTTATAACGCCTAATTGAAATTTACTTTTATTCTAGTTCGCCTGTTTATATCAAACCGACGACTCGCGGCTCAACTGGACCTCAAAGAGATCTCTCCAATAACTGCACTGATTTTGTTTTATCTTTTATAGATTTGTTTTTACTGTCCGACACAATTATCCAATGGAATTAGCAGCCACTCCTGAGCTATAATAAGTCCGTGTAGCGTACAGGCTGGTACACATGTCTTGGGTTTGGGACCATACCACCTCAGTAAAGTTCTGATGGGTGCAGGTGGCTAACTCCCCTGTTTATGGTTACTGCGATGAGGATTGTCGGTTAGCAGCCACCTGTGTTGTAAATCCAAGGTGCCCTGTAGATCAGATGGGCGACAAAGACAGATACCAGCCGTAGAAGAGCTGGACACAGTTTGTAACACGTAAGAACACAAACGCGCACAAACGGCTGTCGCAAAAGCTCCCCCCCCCCCCCCACCGCTTTCGGAACGTTGGGTGCCAAACGTTGCCCTGTCCGAGCCCCACGTCGAGCCCCTGCACTCAGGCGGCGCGCCGCCGTCTGCACAGAGCTGCTTGGTGGGTTAGCCTACCGATCGCGGGGCCCTGCGTTAGAGTCGCTTCGGGAAACGTTAGCTGTGGGGACAACTGGAGACGCTCTGCTAATCCATTGGTAGAACAAGTTGCCAGTTGGAAGTGGAACAATTTGTTCTCAAGTTACCAGTTATAAGTGTAGGAAACTAGAAAAGTCTGCCACTTTCTGGTGCCTAACGTAATCGGTCACAAGTTGCCGGCGTTCCCCTCAGCCGGGTTCTGCAGTGAGGGGAATGCTGTCGTTTTGGGTATCCTGGAAACATCGCGGATAGTTTCATGCAAATTACCTGGTTGTAGGCTATGACGGCAGCAACGACTTCTGAATACTTAAAAATTACCGTGGAAACACAATAGGGAAATGCAGAAGAGGATTTTCGCGTTACACACATTGAGTTTTGGTAACACTAAAAAATCGACGTCCAATAAAGGTCCCCGACGCCCGACGTCTCCCGTATGTTTGGCGGTAATCCCTGTGGCCCACTCCTACCCCACGGTTCGCCGAGGAATTCCCCTCGACTAATGCCACTCGCATAACCCATAACCCCTCTCGCGCTCGGCTTTGACTCACCGCCGCGCGCGCCGCCGCGCACCCTCCGCCCGGCCCATGCCGGCTCCGCTCCGCCCCCGAGGGCCCCGAGGTCGCGTCAAGGCCAACGGATCAACATTTGTCTCGAGCAATGCCCAATGAGGTCGGGCCGGGCCCCGGGCCGGGCCATGGGGAACGCTAACCCAGATCTGTTGCCATCGACTCCCGCGTGGGGCGGGGGCGAGGCGGGGCGGGTAGGGTGTTTCAAAAGCGCCGAATGTTCGATATTCTTGTCGCTTGTTGTGGAAAAGTTTCTTTTTGTGTCAAAAATGAAAACTGTGAAGTCCGAAATTTTTTGGACAAAATTTAGAGGTCGCGCCAGAGGCTTGAAGTTTAACATTGGTTTCTTACGGGCTTTCATACGTAATATTAAAAATTCTGCCTGGACTCCAAATTTTTGGTCGGAGGTCAAAACTAAGACCATAGCTGGAATCTACGTCAAAAACCGAATCTGGCGACCTATCGCATAACTTGATACCACCTCAGATTTTGAAATAATTTTTCCCAATTTTGGGAAAATGAGCAAATTGAGAATTTTTCTAAAATTAAACTAGAGGTTGCACAATTGCATGCAACATATCGTCAGACTCGGTTTTTAACGTAGATTTCAGCTATGGTCTTAGTTTTGACCTGCGGCCCATAATTTGGAGGCCAGGCTGACTTTTCAATATTAGGTATGAAAGCCCATAAGAAACTAATGTTAAACTTCAAGCCTCTGGCGCGACCTCTAAATTTTGTCAAAAAAATTCCGGACTTCACAGTTTTCATTTTTGACACAAAATGAAACTTTTCCACAACAAGCGCCGAGAGAATCGAGCATTCGGCGCTTTTGAAACACCCTAGGGGCGGGGCAGGGCTGGTGATTTGCCGGACTACAAATCGTCCGGGTTGTTTTGCCCCTGCAGCGGGGGTGGCGGGGGCCGCTGGCATCCGTTCGTGCCTCGCACCCATAATGGGTTATAGGGGCCCGACCGGGCCCGGCCCGGCCCGGCCCGGCCCGGCCAAGAACCAATTTCTCTCTCTGCGCCTGCGCCCGTCCTCCTGCTCGTTCTGCCCTGGCCCTGGTCCTGCTCTTGCGCCTGCTCTTGCGCCTGCTCTTG